AAAAAAAAAAAAAAAAAAAAAAAAAGAATGTGAACTCAATGTAAATATGGAGCCCCATTTAGGATGACCTTTAGTAAGTACGAGAGCCCAATGAGTCTTCCATCTAATTCTCAGATGTGGCACAATTAGGGAAAATAGAGATTGTCCATCTGAACCAGAGAGAGGTGACTTGTAGTTTTTTGTATTTTTCCCATGATAATTTCGTTTAAAAAAAACCACCACCACCAGGGTTCGGCTCTGTCACCCAGACTGGAGTGCAGTGGCATGATCATAGCTCACTGTAGTCTCAACCTCCTGGACCCAAGTGATCCTCTAACCTCAGCCTCCCAAGTGGCTAGGACCAGCTAATTTTATTTTATTTTTGTTTTGTAGAGATAGGGTTTCCCTGTGTTGCCCCGGCTGGTCTCAAACTCTGAAGCTCAACTGATGCTCCCACCTCAAACTGATCCTCTCACCTCAGCCTCCCAAAGTGCTAGGATCACAAGCGTGAGCCACCGTACCCAGCCTCTCGTGATAATTTCTGATAACAGATTTGGATGTTCTCTGATATGCTTGATAAGCTATTTTTATTTTTAGAGCATATTTATAGGAATTACAAGTTCATCAGTATCAGCAGACTTTGATCTATACTGCTTGGTGATCTCCAAAAAGTTGAAAAGGGCATGTATTGCAAATAGCCTTCACCTTCTCTGGCACCTGAAAGTTCTTAAGGAATCAACATCCCTCACTCACTGGAGAAATGACAAGTTAATACTTAGACCTTGGATGAGGAAGAGGACTAAGCCTGGAACCTTGAGGGGCTCATAGCTTGAAAAAACTGAAGGTATTGGAGGACCCAAACTAGCAAAGAAAGAAAAGGAGGGAATAAGCAGTGGAAATGCCTGTGATAAGAGGAGAAGAATAATGGTAAAAGTGAAGAAAACACAAAAGAAGTGAGGCTCAGACAGAGGGTGTGTTTGTAAAGATTAAAAAAAATGAGGAAAAAGTTGACAGTGCAGGATTTTCAGCTACATCATGGGCAGCACTTTCCCCATTGTGTTATTAATATTTTCCTGGCAGGGCGTGGTGGCTCACACCTGTAATCCCAACACTTTGGGAGACCGAGGCAGGTGAGGTCAGGAGTTCAAGACCAGCCTGACCAACATGGTGAAACCCTGTCTTTACTAAAAATAGAAAAATTAGCTGGGCATGGTGGTGGGTGCCTGTAATCCCAGCTACTTGGGAAGCTGAGGCAGGAGAATTGCTTGAACCCGGGCAGCGGAGGTTGCAGTGAACCGAGATCACACCACTGCACTCCAGCCTGGGCAACAGAGTGAGACCCTGTCTCATAAATATATATATGTGTGTATATATATATATATATATATATATTTTTTTTTTTTTTTTTTTCCTAAGTGTTTTGGGCTTCCATTATGAAACTGGGTACTTAGGGCCTGCTCTTTGCACCCTCCTGGAGTGAAGGCCATACTTCCTTTTTTTGGTTTGATTTTTGGGACGAGATCTCTCTCAGGCTGGAGTGCAATGGCGCAATCATAGTTTACTGTAGCCTTGAACTCCTGGGCTCAAGTCGATCCTCCTGCCTCAGCCTCTGAAGTAGCTGAGACTACAAGTACACACCAGCATGCCTGGCTAATTTTTTAAAAACCTTTTATAGAGACAGGATCTTGTTATGTTGCCCAGGCCTGTCTCAAACTCCTGGCCTCAAGTGATCCCTCCCACTCTAACCTCCAAAAGTGCTGGGATTATAGGCATGATGCACCACCCCCAGCCTGTGTTATGATGTCTCCTTGAGGCTGTTAAGTAGGCAGCACCTATCATACGTGGATGCTCTGAGGTCAGTTCCAAGGCTCGTGCCTAGGTTCTAGAGAACAAATGTACTATTACTGGATATTCTGTATACACAAATCTGATCATGTCATACCCTAGTTAAAACCGTGCAGTGGTTCTTCAGTGCCCCCAAGATAAAATCATGTCTGTAACCTTTCAAGAGAGGAACTAGCTTATCTTTCCAGCTTTCAATTTTCCAGCCCATCTCTCCATCCCATGTCCTATCACACTCAACCCTTTAAGATTCCACAGAGGCGCTCTACTCCCTCTCACCTTCTACCTTTGTACACACTGCTGTCCTTCTGCCTGTTATATTCTTCCAACTCCTACTTCTCCATCAGGATGATTTCTATTCATCCCTCCCGTCTCAAACCCTAAAACATATTCTCTGACTTCTCCCAAGACTGGCACTTACTACACTTAAAAACTGCCAGTTTACGCTGGGCGTGGTAGCTCACGCCTGTAATCCTTGCACTTTGGTAGGCCAAGGTGGGTGGATCACTTGAGGCCAGGAGTTTGAAACCAGCCTGGCCAACATGGTAAAACCCCATCTCTATTAAAAATACAAAGAAATTAGCCGGACACGGTGACCGGCAGCTGTAATCCCAGCTACTCAGGAGACTGAAGCAGGAGAATTGCTTGAACCTGGAAGGCAGAGGTTGCAGTGAGCCAACAACGTACCACTGCCTTTCAGCCTGGGTGACAGAGCAAAACTTTGTCTCAAAAAAAAAAAAATTGCCAGTTTAAGCTAGGTGCAGTGGCTCACACCTGTAATCCCAGCACTTTGGGAAGCCAAGGCGGGTGGATCACTTGAGGTCAGGGGTTTGAGACCAGCCTAGCCAACATGATAAAACACCATCTCTACGAAAAATACAAAAAATTAGCCACGGGTGGTGGCAGACACCTGCAATCCCAGCTATGTGGGAGGCTGAGGCATGAGAATTGTTTGAACCCAGGAGGCAGAGGTTGCAGTGAGCCAAGATCATGCCACTGCAGTCCAGCCTGGGAGACAGGGTGAGACTCCATCTCAAAAAAAAAAAAAAAAAAAAAAAAAAAAAAAATTGCCAGTTGATTGATCTGTCACTCCTCCTATCCTAACCTCTCTGTACAGCACAACTTCATGGGTACCATATATATAGCTATGAAGGTTCTAACTCTGCCTATAAGTTATTTGAGGCAGAGACTGTACTTTGTTTACTATCATATAACTAGATATGTGATAGCTATCCACTGAATGAATTAAATTTTCATACATGTGGCATTTATTTGGGTAACGTGGAGAATTTTTAAAAGATATTTACCAATATAGGACCGGGCGTGCTGGCTCACGCCTGTTATCCCAGCACTTTGGGAGGTCAAGGCTGGGGATCACGAGGTCAGGAGTTCAAGACCAGCCTGACCAATATGGTGAAACCCTGTCTCTACTAAAAAAAAAAAAAAAAATACAAAAATTAACTGGGTGTGGTGGTGCATGTCTGTAATCCCTGCTACTCAGGAGGCTGAGGCTGGAGAATTGCTTGAACCCAGGAGGCGGAGGTTGCAGTGAACAGATTACGCCACTGTATTCCAGCCTGAGCAACAGAGTGAGACTCTGTCTTAAAAAAAAAATCTTACCAATATAGAAGGGAAAAGCTCTGAGGTTTCAAATGTGAAAAAGAAAAGGCTAGGTGCTGTGGATTGGCTTGCTGGAATAATGTGTACTAGGTAAAAGAAAAAGGAGATGATTTTCCTGAAATGATGATTTCAGGGCAACCCTATGGTAGATGAGAGAAGTTTTTCTTTTTTTTGAGATAGAGTCTTGCTCTGTTGCCAGGCTGGAGTGGAGTGGCACAATCTCAACTCACTGCAACCTCGGCCTCCTGGGTTCAAGTTATTCTCCTGCCTCAGCCTCCTGAGTAGCTGGGATTAAAGGTACTTACCACCATACCCGGCTATTTTTTGTATTTTTAGTAGAGATGGGGTTTCACCATGTTGGCCAGGATGGTCTTGATCTCTTGACCTCGTGATCCGCCTGCCTCAGCCTCCCAAAGTGCTGGGATTACAGGTGTGAGCCACCGTGCCCAGCCTGAACCAACCATAAGGTATTTTTCAGGAGGAGAAAAAAAGAACATAGACTATTAGAGGATACAATGAATTAATGTCAGGTTTGTTGGATGTGATAAAGATATTTTTTAAAAAACATTATATCTGTTAAGAGACACATACTGAAATATATACAGAAGAAATGACATGCCTACAATTTGCTTTGAAATACTCCATCACAAACAGCAACAACAACAAAAGGAGGAAAGAAAGAAAACAAGAACAGTATAAAGTTAATTGTGTCTTTGTTTTTTGGGACAGGGTCTCACTCTGTCACCCAGGAGTACAGTGGCACAATCACTGCACAAAAAAATTGTCAAAGTTAGGAAATAGGTACATGGGTTTATTATACTAGTCTCTCTCTTTCACTATACTCTGAAAATTTCCATAATAAAAGCTTTAAAACAGAAAATTGAAGACAAGAAAAAATGGAGGAGAAAGAAGAAGGCTCTGTAAGTGAGACATATATGACTCATTCCAAAGCAGTTACCAGAAAAAGAGACTTAGGAAAGAATGATACCAACAGCAAAAACTAAATATAAGCAAAGACAATGGGTCACAACAATGAATAAAAAGAAAGGTCTTGGCAAAAGCATTAACATGTATGCCCAGAATCCTGTAATCTTGGGTACCTCCAAGGATATTACAGAATAATGAAGACTATTCAACATAGGACGCAGAGTCATTTGAATAATGTAACAGCTTACTGTGGTAAAAGTTATAATGAAAAGAAAGAGGAGAAAAGATGGAAGAGCACCATAAAACCTAATGTAATACTGAAGGGATCCAAGCTACGTAGGTTCTGACAAAAGCTTATGCATATGAAATGCACTTGTGATGATGTCATCTACTCCCTGACACAAGACGAATAAAATATCCTAAGATTCTAAAAGACTGACAGGTTTGCATTCTGTTTTCTGAGTCAAAGCCAAACCACAGAGCTGAAAGTGCTTACAACCTAAAACCCTTCTTCTGTTTAGATCGGGGCTAAAACCCTTCTTCTGTTTAGATCAGGGGTCACCAACCCCCAGGCCACGGACTAGTGGCCACAGACCAGTGAACCCCATCGTCAATGTTAGGAACTGGGACCTCCTGCACAGCAGGAGGTGAGCAGCAGGTGTGCAAACATTACCACGTGAACACCACCACGTGAACACCACCTCAGATGCCTGTCAGATCAGCAGCAGCAAGATTCTCACGGGAGCGCAAACCCTACTGTGAACTGTGCATCTGAGGGATCTGGATTGTGTGCTCCTTATGAGAATCCAATGCCTGATGATCTGAGGTGGAACAAAATTGATCCCTGGTGCCAAAAAGGTTGGAGACCACTGATTTAGATAATGGCTCACATTTAGCAAGCAAATGAACAAATCTGTATATGCCCATTTGGTTAAGCCTGGTATCTCCCAGACATACGACCCTAGCAGAATGAACAATAATTATGTTTAATGATTGTGTTACTATCTTTTTTGCTGAGGACTTTTTCCAAGATGTTATTTCTGGAGAAAAGAAAGGGCTAAGAAACACTTGCTCCTCTCTAGTATAGAAAATTCACCCAAGTCACACAGTCCAGGCCCTCTTCTCTGAATAACTTAACAGGTGAGGTCAACATGCATTTATTCAGTGCCCATTGTGTGCCTTTATAAAATAAAAGCTGTATCTTCATGTTAAAGTGTGGCAGAGAACAGTGGGAACAGATATCAATGAGGAATGTGTATAAAAGAACTTTAAAGCTGAGAGTCCCAGGTGTGACAGACCAATCTCCAATTTATAAGACCCTAACGCCCGGGCGCGGTGGCTCATGCCTGTAATCCCAGCACTTTGGGAGGCCGAGGCAGGTGGATCACGAGGTCAAGAGATCGAGACCATCCTGGTCAAAATGGTGAAACCCCGTCTCTACTAAAAATACAAAAAATTAGCTGGGCATGGTGGCGCATACCTGTAATCCCAGCTACTCAGGAGGCTGAGGCAGGAGAATTGCCTGAACCCAGGAGGCGGAGGTTGCGGTGAGCCGAGATCACACCATTGCACTCCAGCCTGGGTAACAAGAGCGAAACTCCGACTCAAAAAAAAATAAATAAATAAAAAAAATAAGACCCTAACCCTCTCCTTTCAAGCTGAACTCATGCTTGATTTAAAAGAAAATACTCATTTCAAAGTTTCCAGGAAATGGAAACTGGAGACTTTTTCAGATCCTCTAAATTCTCAATCCTTCCCCACCTTAGGTGCCACAGAAACAAAGGGCAAGAGACCACTTTACCTCTTGTGGATTTACTGCAGTTAAGACAGAAACTTCATATGATTGCCTCCCTGACTGCATGGTCACCAAGTGATGTGTCACATCAGGCACTGAAGACAGGGAACGTGGGGATCCTTCAGCAAGCACTTCTGTGAAGCAACAGAAAAATGTTTCAATGAAAAGTGAATCCAGAGATACACCTATCTGGATCATTAAGCCTCTCATTAACAACTCTAAAGCTCTATTCCTCTATTTTCCACATTCCTCTATTTCTTCCAAGTTAATCCTGTCTAATAAGCACTAGCAGTGAATTCAGAAAGTATTATAGAAACAGAATAGAAAAAAAGACAAGAAATCTTAATTCAGGATTTAGAATAATACAATATTAGCACTGCTAACTGAATTAAAACTATGTATGAAACGGGGCAAAAGCTGCTTAGGTAAGCGGGTCAGGGAACCAAAGCCACCCTTAAAGCAGTCACCAATGATACTGATAGAACTCACTGACTGAAAATGATATGAGGAACAAAACACAAGATCTCACAGTTACTAAATGTTCATCAGTGGGATCACCATGAAAATCTTCTAGAAATATTTTAAGGATATACCACTTAGCCCTCAGAAAATCAAAAGTTTCTTCTAGGGGTTTTCTAGCTGATACAGCTCTTTTATACTGTACCATATAATTTAATGTTCGCTTATATACTGTCTTTTATGTACTCAATGTTGTTCCCATATATATGTAAGTTTTCACTTCTCAACTGGATTTTAAGGTCCCTAGTTTCTACTTTTGTCTTTCCCATGGTGCCAGGCACACAGTAGGCACTGAATAAATGCATGCTGACCTCACCTGTTAAGTTTTTCAGAGAAGAGGGCCTGGCCTGTGTAACTTGGGTGAAATTTCTATACCAGAGAGGAGCAAGTGTTTCCTAGAGAGCCCTTTCTTTTCTCCAGAAGATATGGCTTTTGAAGGTATGGAGAAATTGCTTTATATCTCCTCTGTAAAACCTGGTTATGTTCTGTTTAAATGTTTTAAAAGTTAAGTTCTTCCATAACTGCAATAGGAAAGATAGAAATAGTTGGGCTAGGATGCTAGGATTATGAATAATTTTTTCTTAAGATTTTTTCTTTTTATTCTTTGTTATATTATCTTCAATGAAAAAAAATTTTTTTAAAACAGACTCACTTATCCACCCCAGAGAATAAGAACACAAATGTTACTCAATCATACCACAGCTATTCATAAGAAATGAGATTTAAACCTCCACTGTGGAGACACCCCATTCCTTAGCCCCTAGTTGCAGCCCGTTTTTCCCAAATAAAGGACAGGTGGAAGTCTTACCATCATCAACTCCCAGGATAGAATTGGTATTTGGTAGGTTCAAGGACTCTCCACCAAGGCTGGGCTGGGAATTCATAGACACCAGGTTTTTACTGGGTACTGAAGCCTCTTCAAGCAAACTACTGCCCATTAGTGGCTCAGCTGCACAGAGAATAGGTTGTGAGAGACATACAGCAGTCAAGGCTGTGCCTGGTCCTCATTTTCTTTCAACAGGAAGCTGGACTTCTCTTTCATTACTAGAAGTTAACCTATGTATTGGATGCCACCTCCTATTTCACCTACTTTAGAGAAACAAGAATAAACCTAGAAGGGAAAGAGTAACAAGCCTAATGACCCTTGCTTGTTTTCAGCATCTGAAGAATTAGTATATGAAACAGGATAGGTGGATCTTTAGAAAGGAATATTTGGAACAATTAAGGAAAGATATGGCAAAGGAATAAGAATTAAAAAGAGTTGTCAAATTTCAGGCAGGGCAAAAAGGTAGTCACAACTGGTAAGTAGAAAATGCTTCCAGCGTGGCCAACATGGTGAAACCCCATCTCTACAAAAACACAAAAATTAGCCAGGCATGGTGGCACCTGGCTGTAATCCCAGCTACTCAGGAGGCTGCGGCAAAAGAATCCTGAACCCAAATGGCGGAGGTTGCAGTAAGCTGAGATGGCGCCACTGCACTCCCGCCTGGGTGACAGAGTGAGACTCTGTCTTAAAAAAAAAAAAAAAAAAAAAAAAACAGCTTAAACTTTTGCCATACAGAAATCTTTTGTCACTGCGTTACTGAAATCCTCGTTCATGGATCAGCACTAGTTACCATCAAACACTATGGGAACTTTTAAAACTACATATTCTGGGATCTTGCAAATTATCTCATTCATTAGATTGCTTTGTTTTATTGGTGGGGGGACAAGCAACAAAAAATATATAAATTTTAAAAGCTTGCAGATGATTCTACTGTATAGCTATGTTTGGAAACCATCAGCCCATCAAATGAGACCAGGTCTATCTACCCAAAACAGAATCAGAAAATTTCCAGATAACCAGGCAGGACAGTGATTTGGCTCTTTTAACCCTAGAAGGGATATAGCCCTGCACTACACCCACCCTCCTCACCAGTTTGCTCCTGCTCTTGACTCCCAGCTGCTCCCAGCTGCAAGTGATGCTTTCTCATATGCACATTCCTGCTTCCACTCTGAGAGAAGGTCTTCCCACAGACTTGGCACTGATGAGGCTTCTCTCCTGAAACAGGGACCAGGTTAAACAGGGAAGCCAAAACAAAAGAATAGAATGGACTCAAGACCTAGATGAAGAAACTCAGAGAATGTTAAACTGAACATAAACAGCAGCTCCTTTTCCCATTCCCCACCTTTCCCAGCCTCTCAAACTTCAGTACATGGGGGAAGGCAGGAAGAGTACACTGGGCAGGATTTAGCACACTCCCTGCTCCCGGCCTTTCCAGACCCGCTCTACTGCTGTCTTCACAAAATCTCTTGGGTATAGGATCATGACAGCCAAAAAAATATGCCTCCTTTTTCAGATAGTCTTCCAGGGACCTCTAGGACATGTACTTTCCTCGAGGACTCCAATCCTGGGTTCCTAATATCCCCGTGTCATACTCCCTGGCACTACTCTTTAGGGTCATCAACATTCACACTGGTGGCTCTTCTAACATGATCTAAACCGTCTTCTACGTCTTTAAGTCCTAAATTCTCTGTTTCCATTCTACCTACCCAGACAACCATACTCAGAAGCAGGGGTCAAAATCTCATGTCTATAGGGGACTGACAGGCAGCAAAAGTAAGTAAAATGGCCAAGTGGGAGCCATAGAAACCTAGAGAGTACCTTTCCCGGAAAAGGGGCAGCTGTTATTCTGTTCTAGCCAACTGTTGCCATATTTAGATTAAGGCCTACCACTGCCAGATTCTCTGTTGTTTTTTTTTTAAACACACTGGAAACAGGATTTTTAAGTAGAATCTCTCAATTTCTAAATGCTAGGAAAAAAATTCACAATTGATAAACACATGGTACAGCAATCTTCATTGCTGATTGTATTTTGCTGGGAATGCAAAATACAAAAACCTCTTTGGGGGAATCTGACAATAACTAGAAAAATTGTAGATGCACTTGCCCTTTGACCTAGGAATCCCACTTCTAGGAATATGTCCCAAACTATAGTGACAAAATGTGAAATAATCTATGCACAAGGTTATTCATCACTGCAACATTATTTTAAGAGGCTAAATACTGGAAACAACCTAAATATTAATCACAGAGACTGACTAAAAAGCTACAGATATTGCAATAGTCCTGCACAGAAAAAAAAAAAAAAAAGGCTATATAATAGAAACAGGGTAGAATATTACAAAGCTTTAAAACTAAAAATTGAATCACCATTTGAACCAGCAATCCCATTACTGGCTATCTACTCAAAGGAAAATAAACTGCTTTACCAAAAAGACACCTGCACTCACATGTTCACTGCAGCACTATTCACAACAGCAAAGATATGGAATCAACCCAGATGCCCATCAATGGTAAATGAGATAAGGAAAATGTGGTATATATACACCATGGAATACTATGCAGCCATAAAAAAGAACAAAATCATGTCCTCTGCAGCAACATGAATGCAGCTGGAGGCTATTATCCTAAGCAAATTAACAAAGAAATGGAAAATCAAATACATGTTCTCACTTTTAAGTGGGAGCTAAACACTGGGAACATATGGACATGAAGATGGGAACAATAAACATTGGGGATTCCAAAAGTGGGTATAGGGCAAGGGTTGAAAAACTACCTATCAGCTACTACGTCCACTGCCTGGTCAACAGGATCATTAAAGCCCAAACCTCAGCATCACACAATATACCCTTATAACAAACCTGCACACGTACCCTCTGAATCTAAAATAAATTTATTTTGGCCAGGCACAGTAGCTCACACCTGTAATCCCAGCACTTTGGGAAGCCGAGGCAGGCAGATCACGAGGTCAGGAGATCAAGACTAGCTCGGCCAACATGGTGAAACCCCATCTCTACAAAAATACAAAAATTAACTAGGTGTGGTGGTGGTGCATGTAATCCCAGCTGCTTGGGAGGTTGAGGCAGGAGAACTGCTTGAACTCAGGAGGTGGAGGTTGCAGTGAGCCAAGATCACCCCACTGCACTCCAGTCTGAGCCACAGAGTGAGACTCTGACTCAAAAACAAACAGCATGCTATGATACCTTTATGTAAGTAAGAAAAGGAATCATACACTCCAATATTTCTATAATCAAAGACAGACAGAAACAACTGCTGGACAGGATGTACAGAAACTGAAATCCTCATACACTGCTGTGAGAATGTAAAATATCACAGCCACTTTGGAAAAACGGCAGTTTCCCAAAAAGCTAAACGGAAAGTTACCATATGACTCAGCAATTCCACTTACAGGTATACACTTAAGAAAAATGAAAACACATAACCATATAAAAATATATACACAAATGTTCATAGCAGCATTATACATAATAGTCAAAAATGTGTCAAACAACCCAAATCCATCAACTGATGAATGGTTAAACAAAATGTGGTATATCCATACAATGGAATATTATTCAGGCATAAAAAGCAATAAAGTAGGCTGCATGTGGTGGCTCATGCTTATAATCCTGGCACTCTGGAAGGCAAAGGTGGGTGGATTACAAGGTCAGGAGTTTTGAGACCAGCCTGGCCAACATAGTGAAACCCTGTCTCTACTAAAAATACAAAAATTAGTCGGACATGGTGGCAAGCGCCTGTAGTTCTAGCTACTTGGGAGGCTGAGGCAGGAGAATCACTTGAACCTGGGAGGCGGAAGTTGCAGTGAACCGAGATTGTGCCGCAGTACTCCAGCCTAGGTGACAGAGCCAGACTCCACCAACCCAAAAAAAGGAATAAAGTAATGATACATACCACAATGTGAATGAACCCTGAAAATGTATGCTAAATGAAAGAAGTCAGTCACAAAATGCCATACTAGCTGTGCATGGCAGTGGGTGCCTGTAATCCCAGCTACTCAGGAGGCTGAGGGAGGAGAATCACTTGAACCCAGGAGGCAGAGGCTGCAGTGAGCTATCACACCACTGCACTCCATCCAGCCTGGGCAACAGAGCAAGACTCTGTCTCCAAAA